CCTCATTAGCAGCCCTGGTGGCGTGTCCTTCACCTGGGGGGATAATAGCACGTATACTTTGGCGGCGAAGTTTTGTGGGGTTTTTAATAAGGAGAGAGGAACGGCGGCCATGACAGTGCAAGGTCAAGGGGTACATGAAATCTATGAGCCAAAAGCTATGATGCGCAAAATGATTCTATCGCTACCATCAATAATGTATTTATAGAAGCAGCAGCCATTCATGTCCAGGTGCTGTTTTAGCCCTCAATCGCTACCACAAGTCTTATCAATGTCCTATTTTTGCAGGAGAGGGGGTGGGTGGTTGAGGGGGGGGGGGGCAGACAGACAGACAAACAGAGACGGTTTTAAACACCATGCTTCCTTGCCAAGAGAAGGGGTCTTTGGTTCATTGTGTAGTCTCTGTTTGCCGGAAGTTGAACTTCTACAGTTTTACTGTTGCTGGTTTTTTAAGGATATATGATATGGAAAGGTCTTGAACCTCTAGGTCTCACTGGAAATATCGAAGGCGAAAGAGGCAGAGGTAGGCCCGGAGCAACCTATTTATGGAACCTAAACAAATGAGTAACGTGGAAAGATCATGGAATAGTAGCTTTTTTTAGAGCATCCAAGCAAAGGAATGAAAGGAGAACCATGATCGCCGATGTCTGTCGCAGATCTGGCACTGGATGATGATGATATTATATGGTTTGCCTTTTGGCATTGCTTGCAGCCACAGCACAATAATATACGCACCATAGACTTGTGTTTTATGCTAGAATATTATTATTTTCTTCTGTACTGTGGGGTTTTTTCTGTTCATTAATTTCTTGTTTCCTTCTTTCATGAGTAGCACCCTGCGGTGTGTTTCGACTGGGGGAGTTTAGATGGGGGTTTCTGCTGTTGTCTTGGTGTCTTTGTATGCCAGCTGACCCAGGAGGAACAGTTCATTCGTGTTTCACATTACAACGACACCTTGCAAGACGGGCACCTGTCTAAGACACACACTTTTCTCTTCAACAATGGACGGCTGTCTTAGACAGTTTCAACTGTACTCAGTTTAGATAAGTAAAATGATTTTTTTTAAAAACTGAAAACTAAAGTTGTTCCCGCGTCCGATCCGGACATTGGGGATTGCCTTGTTAGTGAGACAACTTCCTGGGCCTTCAGCATATTGCGGTAGGGTGGCCAGTTCCTTTCCACGCCGTCTTTACTTCCCCAACTAGAAGTCAGGTACCCATTACTGCTGGGTGGGCAGGAGGGGGCGAAAAAAATACATGTCCGAACCGAGGCTCGAACACGGACTTTTTGCTTCGGAGACGAGCGCACTAAT